TCTGCCAGCCAGCCAGCAGGACCAGCTTTACATTCCGCGTTAATAAATTCTTTTCTGTATTATTAGATGGCTCTGTTCCATGGGGTGTTTTAATTCCTGCAGATTGGAAGGGAGGGGGTCCCTGGATAGAGCTGGGGAGTTTCCAGAGAGGAAGGGAGGTGCCCTGACAAATGAACGATCTGCTTTACTGCAAGGTCAGTTCGGCTGTGGTGTCATTTGCTGACAGTGGGAGAGCTGTAAATTAAACGTCTTGCATTAAGCAGACAATCACTGGGCACAATCGAGCCCTCAGGAGCCTTGACTGCTCTGAAAGGAGAGGGCAGGGGTTCTCCCTGGTGCTGGAAGGAGATGCTTAGTGGAGGCCCTGCTCGCAGTGCCCCAGCCTGCTCCACGAGCACAGGGGCCTGGGCTGCGCCTTCTGCTCCCACTGGGAGCACTCAGCAGTACATCAAATTCCCAGGTGAGAAATAGACACCAACCCCCTCCAACAGCAATTTTATTATACTTTCCTGAGTAGTTACGGTCTGCCTTTGGAGCAGAGCCTTTTCTGGAGCACAGCTTGTTCTGGCTTCACTGGGGGTAGTACACTTTGACACCAGTGACATCGACTGGACAAGTAGACCACAAAGTGCAGTTAGTGTGGAAGCGTAGCCCATACTGAAGAGGAAGAAAGGCCCGCGTTTAAGTGGGAGCGAGCCCTTCGCTCTTGCTGTGCTTCGGGCTTGTGTGTCTCCCTGCCGCGTGCAGTGCCGAGCGCTCTGCCCCCGCCGAGAGGTAGGGGAAGGACTCCCGTGCCCAGATGTGCTGTGGCCGGACAGGGTAAAGGCTTGTAGAGACTGGAGTGTCCTGGGCTGCCCTGGTCCTGTGCCTGCTGGAGGTTGTTGCCCAAATTTGGTCCTCCTGCTGCAAGCTGCGCAGAGCCGAAAGGGAGAGCAAAAGCCCAGCATCCCGCTGCCACTGTGCGTGAGCGGAGCAGAGGCTGCGTCACAGCGAAGGTGCAAGGACAGAGGCAGGGGCTGTCCTCGCGTGGGGGGATCTGGTGCCCTCGGGCAGCCCCGGCCGCTGACAGCGCTGTGCTTGGAGGGGGA